GTGTAGCAAAGACGTTTTCCATCTTTATTTGGATTCTTAAAAAACCTTCAGGAATATTTAACAATTCCTGCAATTAAATAATAAATGCCAAGAAATTCTGTCTGGAAGGTTTGAGTTGAAGTTGTCTAAAGCTGCGGTTCTATTAGGACCCAGCAAGCGCCACTTGGTTCGGTGGAACGGTTCTTCGAGATTACCAGAAAACCGGGTCACTGCTTCTGTTTCAGTAACGTTCCAGCGTATCAAGCCGGGCTGTGACAGATCACCGCCCACTCGCGGTTCCTGGGTCATAATCATGACAGCAAGCTGAGTTTAGCTTTCCCGGGCAGGAAGTGAGCTCCAATCCAAAAGAGCAACAAAATAAAAGCTTCATCCAGACATGGAAAGTTACTGAAATTTTAAATGAATTTTTTTTTTGCCGATTCCATCGTTTCTATTAGGGATGTGTATTTTTGAAATTCTGGCGATACGATACATATCACGATACAGGGGAAATGATATGATATATAACGATATATTGCGATACATTCAGTCAGACATTACAAGCAATTTTTTTTACTGAATTTATTGTAAGAATATTCAATAAACAGCCCAAGCTGATACGTAACATGTTTAACGTGAGGTATCTGAACCATGATGGAGGGATTTACATTTCAGTGGTGGAAACAAAACCCGCTGCACACTGCTGCCAACTAGCGGGTGGCGATTGAATTGCGCAAAACGAAAAGAAAATACACAAACGTTTGCATGTAAATTCTTTCAGGAATTAGATACACAGCTTTTGAATATCAATGTAATAATCGCAGGAAAAAATATCACGATATATTGCCATATCGATATTTCCGATATACGGTTTTTGAATATCGATATAATAATGTTGGGAAAAATATCACGATATATTGCCATATCGATATTTTCTTACATCCCTAGTTTCTATGGTGATCTGGAGGAGAAACGGAAAATATCTGTCTCAGCGTCAATAAACTAAATGTTCACCAGTGACCTCAACAGCCATTTTTCTTTACTTTTTGATTTACGTGTAGACAAACGGTTCTGGTTAGCATCAGAGTTCTGGAACATCTTTAGACTTTTGTTTGTGATGAAGGAGAAGGTCTGACAGGAGCAGGAGGACCGGAGAGAGTAGAACATCCCCAGGGCTTTTCCTGGCTCAAACTGAGGCAGAGGTGGTACCATCCTGACCATGCACCAGCTAGGGTTGTCACGGTATGAAAATTTAACCTCACGGTTATTGTGACCAAAATTATCACGGTTTTCGGTATTATCGCGGTATTTTTTAAACGGTGTTGCATATGTTCAGAAAGCATTGATAGTCCTGTTCTACACAAACTGAAATAGTTCTGAAAAGGTTTAACAGTGTTTATTAAACCTAAAATAACACAAAGCCTTAGCAAAAGTGCAACTTTTCACAAGTAAAGGAACAAATAGCTTCTTTTTCTGGAACATGTTACAGTAGTCAGTGCAGGTTTAAATGATACAAATCCAAACATTCAAAACATAAACAATATGTAAACAAATCAAAGAAACACCACTTGTTTTCTCATATACTTGTTTTCTTCATATCAAAATGAAAATCTAAAACTCCAGTCCACACTTGACTTGAGCACTGTACAAGTCAACCTTAAAAAAATATGTATTTAAAATAAATAGCCACTTTAAACAAATTACTAAAATAACTACTACACTATGTAATCAAATCCAAATGTTCAAGTATAAATGGCATTGAATAAGTAAACAAATCAATGACAAGGAACTAATTGTATATTTCTCTTCATCATCAACAAATAAGATGCTTCATCCAGCAACAGGGTGTCCGTGACACGGTTTAAATGCTGGCAGAGGACGCTGCGGCTGCAGTATATAGTGACTCGTTGTATTCTCCCTCAGCCAAAAGTCCTCACGTCATGCATTTAAGCTAAAATGCTAATGTTAACTTACCTTGCACTGGCTGTAGAGACGTGGGTGATGGTCACGCAGATGTGCCATTAGATTCGAAGTGTTGCTGCCTTCTGCAGACACTTGTTTCCTGCACGTTCTGCAAACGGGATAGCAGTTTTCTATTAACTGTCCCTCAGCATTTTTCAGAAATCCATAATATGCCCATACTTCCGATTTAGTCTTCTTTGAGGGCTGATGGATGTCCTGGGCGCTGCCGTCTCCTCCTTCGGCCATTATTTCAGCTTCAAAGTTTTGGTGCCGTTGCAAACTAAAAAGTGCGTGTGCGCGCCGCGGGAACTTCAGCTGAAGCGACGGTGGCTGGTAAGGGTCACCGCGCCGAAACCGCGGCCACGGTAAACCCACCGAGATAATATAGTTTTTTTAAAAACTGGACGGTTATTTTTATTGTCAACCTTTTTACCGGGGTTTACCGCTATACCGGTTACCGTGACAACCCTAGCACCAGCACATGCTTACTCTGTGCATTCAACTTCCTCACTTTTTTAAAGGCAACATATGTTATCGTTAAGCTTCTGTTGATTAATAGAATATTCCATTTGACAATGTTTCAAGTGAAACAAAACTGGTTTGCTGCTCAAAAATATGAAATAAAACAACAAAATTACCAGGCTGAAATAACAGACTCTTATTATGAAAGGCTCAATAATATGCATTAGATTGGTGTTTAGTTCCTTTTTACCATCTGATATTTATAGTTAAAATATTTTTTAATATTTGACCTACATTTCAGTAACATTTTAGGTATGTATTAATAACACTCGTCTTAGTCTAAATGACAAATGTAAAATATAATGCATTTCATTAACATGCATTTGTGTTGGAAATGGTAATAACATTTAATTTCTGCTGCCAACAATGTAATGGCGGTATGTCTATTATGTACGGGTTGGCAATAATCCAGTTTAAATTATGTTCAAAGATAGAAGCGTTTGTGACTTATATACTACAACGGCCTGCCGCACTTCCTGCTCCTGTATGTGGAGCAGACGTGTAGCAGTAATGTGACTCGTATCTGCAGCGGTTCTGATCCGTAGCGCTGCAGGATGCAGAATAAACAGGACGGTGGGGACTTTTCATCCGCTTGTAGAGTTTAGTCTTTCTTAGTTTTACGATCATCGTGTTTTTCTGTGTGCCACTTGATCGCGAGACTGCTACCCGTTAGCTTTAGCATTAGCCAATCTGCGTGTAGCTGCACTTTTGATCCCAAACTTTGGACTGGTTCTGCCTTTGCTGGTTCCTTTATTTTCCTCCACTGTATCCAGATGACCACACTGTGCGCCAGTAAAAAGCATTTTCTTACACGTAACTTACTTTTGTTCAATAAAGTTCTGGGGAAAATAATAAATCAAACATGTTGCACCAGTGCTACGTTTAGAAATAGACACGCACAGACACCCCTGTACAGCCCTGCTCTGATATGGAAGAGCCTGGGGGAAACTCAGGACGTCACTAGCACCAACCATAGATATGTACCAACCAGCGAGAAAAACAGTTTTTGATCTTTTTCTGCAGAAGTTTTAGCGCTTTTCGGTGCACCGCTGCTGATACAGCGCCCCTATTGTGGGGCAACGCTGCAACTGCAGTTAAAATAACATCCATTTAGCTGGGGGCTGAGTGAAATCAGGCTGGGGCGGCACTAAATTTGCTGGAGGCGGCCGCCACGCTAATTTGAATGCGGGAAAAACCCTGATCCCTGAACCTGTTGTTGGAATTCCATTTTCAGATGAGAGACACTGTGGTTGAGTCCAAAACCAAACAGGCCCCACCAACTCCACCCAAGCAGCTAAATCATAACTTTTTATAGAACAAACAGAATCCTCTTAGCCGAGTCACCAAGCATCCGAGTGAATCGGTCGGATATTTTTAATTGGAGTTTATTTTACTGATCTGATTTTCCGTTTTTGGAGGAGGTAATTAAGTCTTAATAACTCAGGCTTTAAAAACCTTGTGACTTTTTTCTGTTTAGCTAAATAAACTCAACACAAAAAGATTTTAAACAGTGATGCAACAAAGATTCTTAAAGGTGCAGTATGCAAGAATATAGTGAGAATTTTCCAGAGAGAAAATCCCAAAAGAGCCTGATGTTTAGATCATTAAGGAAGGAAGGTTATACTGAAACATATTTCATATCCAGCTGGCTGCTGAGATCTTCTCCTTTCAAAATAAAGGTAGGACGTAACGACTGTTAACCATCTATGAGTGGGGGGGTGCCGTGTCTCCTGCGAGTTGATGCTGCAGCGCCCACTACTGCAACTTGATGATGGCCAGCAAAAAGCTCCAGAGTGGTTTAAAATGGTTGCAGTAACCACATTTTACCACAGGATGTCATGTTTACTTCATTTCTACATAATGCACCTTTAATATTAACAATCGTGATTACACTTATCGATAAATACTTATCGAGAATCGTTACACACATAAATATTCGATTATTTCCTGACTTCTTGGGCTGAATTTGGTTTCTGAGTCTTTTAAACTTTTTTCTGAATGTAAAAGATAAAAATCCAAATAAAGTGGTTTCTCACTGCCTATGTTTTGGTTCTGGTCCAAACATATCTGTTAGGACCGTTAGAACATGTTCTAGCAGAACTCTGAAAGTTCCTCAGCAGCACAAGGTCCCGTCTGAAGCTGGGTTTTCCTACTCTCACCTGGTTCCATGAAGTTACAGGTGGTTTTATTTACTAGAATCTCCAACTCAGAACCGGAAGTGGTCATTACGAACCGAACCCCGAACTTACTGATTTGGACAGAAACCTCCACCCCCTTCCCGGTGTCAGTCTCCCACTCCGACCCGGGGTCTCGTGTCACATCCACACCCACGCGGTCTCCCCTGACGCGAAACACACACGCGCGCACTTTGCATGTGCGGCGGCTGAAGAGCGCTGAAAGATGCGGACTTTTCGCTGCAGCTGTACCGGTTCGGACAGAGCTATGACTCATCCTGGCACCGAGGCTGGACGCGACCCTCCGCATCAGCGAACCGAGCCGCCGAACCGCCCCAGAACCGCCTGGTGTTTTTACCTTACCTTTCTCTCTTTAACGAACTGAGTCAGATCTTCCTCCCAGCTGTTCGCTGCTGCTGCCCGCTCGGTTCGTCTCCTCCTCCGCCCAGAGGTCGCATCGCTCCCCGGTTCGGATGCACGACACCGGACCCGCGCAGAGTCACCTGCCAGCGACCGGCTGAGAGCTGAAAGGTTCGGTGTGTCTGCGGGGCGGGCTGGAACCTCCGAGAGTCCGGTGGGTCTGATGGATGTGGCTCCGTTTGCCGGGAGGGGGAAAGACGCCAGTGAGATGTTCAGGGACGACACGTAAAGTCGGACTTTCGAGCTTTAGAGAACGCAGCTTTCCTGTTTAGCATCATTCTTTCTTTGTTTTTTCGCCGCGGAAGAGTTGGAAGAGGACATAATGCGTTTGTTAGTTGGAGTTTGTTGTCAAGGTGTCTGATGAAAAATTCAAGGTATCATTAACTTAAAAAAACTAGGAATCAAGATGGCTGCCATTAGCTAATCAGCATTAGCAAACAAAGCAATGACTAAAAACTCACTTTAATAGATATGCAGCCAACATGTGTTGTGTAGTTCCGAGTCAGTCACAACACAAACTCACAGTGCTACGATATCTACGATAAACCTCTAAGCTGAGAAGCTTCCATTTTCAGGTGGAACCAAGCCCCCACAATCTGGGAATTTCATGAAGCCAACAGGGAAGTGGCAAAAACTGCAGTTCCACCCTCATCCGCTAGGAGCTGGCACCAAAACAGAGAAAAGTTCCTACTCTCCTATGAAAAATACCAATTTCACAGCAGAAATAAACATGTTTACAGCCTGGTTGAAAAAACATTTTAGGTTTACCTCATTTAATTAGCCTGGCCTGCCAGACTCGTCCTCTGTTTAATTCTGCACAGAGAATGAGTCTGGTAACTCGCAGGCAGAGCGGCACACGAGGGGCGGGACTAGCCAGCTCAAAAATAACCAATCAGAAACACGGAAATGCCGACTGTACTGCGCTACGCTGTAGTTTTTTAGCCGTAGTAAAAAAAAGGGCATCTGGCAACAGCGCAGACATATTTTATTTTTTTAGAATTAATGCTTTTAGCACTTCTACTTGTGGTTTTACAGACACTCGAGTCATTTAGAACAGAGGAAAGAGATGCAGAGAACTCCGCTTCAGTCACCATGTTTGTGACAAACTCGGCATTGTGTGATGTATGCTACTCAGCTTTGATTGGCTGGGTTAGAATTCTCAGGGGGCGGGGTTATTTGAATAGGAGAGTTCCCAAACCCTTTCTCTGTGCAGAATTAAACAGAGGAGGGGTCTGGCAGGCCAGGCTATCATTTACTGCCATTGACGACTAAAGTCGTCATCTTAAATACATCTGCTCGCTGCAATTTTTTTGTAACTCTTCTGTTTAAGTGTAGTGCTTAAAATTTGGAATACTTAATGAGCATCAGAGCCATGCCAGAGCTAGCGCTAGGAGCTAGCTCTGGGGAAAGGCCTCAGCCTGGGCTTTATGTTAATAAATGTTCGGCATTTTGACTCTGAACTTTAGTTGCGTTCTTTGTGTGTTTGTGTTTGGATGTTAATGATTGAATTATATGGACAAAGTTCCCTAAAGTCCCTTCTTAGCTTCTTGGGTTAGCTAAGTTAGCTAGTAGGTTTGTTTGTTCCACCATATCAGCTCCACCTCTTTTCCCATTTTTGGATTGTCTGGGCGTGACAAGACTTTTTGGAGTCCTTGGAGGGGGTGCTAGAGAGCACTCCTTCTGGTGAGGAAGCAGAAGCCGGGGCCTTTGGGTTGGGTTCTCCAATCTTTGGTGCTGAGGTCACTGAGGTGGTCAAAAAACTCTTTAGTGGCAAGGCTCCAAGGGTGGATGAGATCCCCCCATGGTTCCACAAGGCTCTGGATGTTGTAGGGTTGTGCTGGCTGACCTGGCTTTATCGCATGGACATCGGGGATAGTTCCACTGGATTGGCAGATCGAAATGATCCTCCTGGAGTGGTTCTCCTCTTATCTGCCTGAGCGTTCCTTCTCTGTGGCCGTCTCCAAATTTAGGTCTTCCACCACCTCCCTTACCCATGGTGTCCCACAAGGTTCTGTGCTGGGACCTCTACTCTTCCTTCTCTATCTGCTTCCTCTTCAACACATCCTGAGCTCCTTTAAAGGAATCTCCTACCATCTTTATGCAGATGACATCCAAGTGTACATCTCTTTTAAGCACCATGAGCTGTCTAAGCTGCAGCTATTACACACCTACTTAGACTCTATACGGAGCCCAAGTCACGCCCATCTACTTCCAGACCATGGTTCCTCAGAAGAACGAAAAAATGAATGCAAGTCAACGGGGCTAAAAATGCTATTTTCTAATTCCACTTGTTATGTGCCATAGATTTCACATATGATGTCCGTGATTTTTAAAGAAGCTTTTTGATACCAAGAACGCGCTTATTTTTGAATGTGGAAACGCTATTTTAGGTTTTGTGTGAAAATAATTCCAGGACTACAAATGCGCTTCATGAAAGTCACGTCATCGAACCGGACACAGAGAAAACTGAGGGAAAATGGCTGTAAGTTCAGTAAACTTCCCACAGGAGGAAAGAACCATAAATCTGGTCATGTGGTAAGTATCAGCTACGCTAGGGGGGAGGAGATTATGTGGTGACATCACAAATGCAACGTGTCAATGTCTTATGTGTAGTCATGCTAATTACGAACTTTTACAAGCTGATAAATCTCAAAGTACATGACTGGCGTGGTCGAAACACAAATCATTAAATTGCTGTACAACATGTGTGTGGTCCAGGGCGGAGCCTTGTTGACTTGCATTCATTTTTTTGTTCTTCCAGGGATCCATGAGCCAACCGGAAAGGAAGGAGACTTAGGCTCCCTATTAAAACCTGGATGGTGGGAACTTTCTACAGCTGAATGAAGATAAGACTGAGATCCTCATTTGTGCCCCAGACAAGCTGGTTCCCAAAGTCAGAGACTCTCTTGGTCAGCTTGCTTCTCACACCAAACCTTCTGTCTTGGCGTGGCCTTTGACCCAGCTCTCACCCTGGATTCTCATGTCAGTTCTCTTGTTCGCTCTTCCTTCTTCCATCTCAGGAACGTTGCTAAGCTGAGTCCCATTCTGTCCCGCTCTGAACTTGAGACAGTTCTCCACACCTTCATCTCCTCACGCTTAGACTACTGTAACTCTCTTTCCACGTGTCTGAGCAGAACCTCCCTGAACCGTCTACAGGTGGTTCAGAATGCCTGTGCTCGGCTTCTGACCAAGTCCTCCAAACACACCCACATCACCCCGCTTCTCCTCCAGCTTCACTGGCTGCCAGTCAACTTCAGGGTTCATTTCAAGATCCTGGTTCTGGTCTATAGGGCCTTACATGGACAAGCACCATCTTACATTGGTGATCTTCTTAGTCCCTACACCCCCAGCAGGTCCCTGAGGTCCAGTGATCAAAGCCTACTGGTTGTGCAGCACCAGGCTAAAGGTCAAAGGTGACAGATCATTTGCTGCTGTGGCCCCCAGACTCTGGACCTCTCTCCCCCTGAGCCTGAGATCAGTGGACTCAGTGGTCTCCTTTAAAAAACAGCTGAAGACTCACTTGTTCAGGTGTTGGTGGGACCTTCATCACCCTCCCCTTGTTCTGCTCTTTCTACCTATTCTGACTTTCCCGGGATCCACTGATTTCGCTCTTATTCATTTTCTCTCTCCCATTATTTACATTTTTTAATCACATTTTTTAATTTTTTCTCATTTAAATATATTTAAAAAAATTATCTTTTAAATTTTTATTTTTGTGAAGCACCTCATGATTTTTATATTGAGAGGTTTTATATAAAAGATTGTTTTCTTTCTTTCTGTAAAGGGGAACCGGCCGCAGGGTGTGTTCCAACTACAGGGATCACACTCCTGAGCCTCCCTGGTAAGGTCTATTCAGGGGTTCTGGAGAGGAGGGTCTGGCAAATTATCGAACCTTGGATTCAGGAGGAACAATATGGTTTTCGTCCTGGACCAGCTCTATACCCTTAGGGGGGTCCTGGAGGGTGTGTGGGAGTTTGCCCAACCAGTCTACGTGTTTTGTGGATTTGGAGAAGGTGTTCGACCGCATCCCTTGGGGGCCCTGTGGGGGGTATTCCAGGAGTATGTGGTACAGGGCCCTCTGATGTGGACTGTTAGGTCCCTGTATGACCAGTGTCAGAGCTTGGTCCGCATTGCCGGCAGTAAGTCAAACTTGTTCCCAGTGAGAGTTGGACTCCGCCAAGGCTGCCCTTTGTCACCGATTCTGTTCATAACCTTTATGGACAGGATTTCTAGGTGCAGCCAAGGTGTGGAGGGCATTCATTTTGGTGGCCTGAGGATCAGGTCTCTGCTTTTTGCAGATGATGTGGTCCTGTTGGCTTCATCAGAACGTGATCTTCAGCTTTCGCTGGAGCGGTTCGCAGCCGAGTGTGAAGCAGCTGGGATGAGAATCAGCTCCTCTAAATCTGAGACCATGGTCTTGATTTGGAAACGGGTAGAATGCCTTCTCCGGGTCAGGGATGAGGTTCTGCCCCAAGTGGAGGAGTTTAAGTATCTCGGGGTCTTGTTCACGAGTGAGGGAAAGATGGAGCATGAGATCGATAGGCGGATTGGTGCTGCATCTGCAGTGATGTGGGCGTTGTACCGGTCTGTCGTGGTGAAGAGAGAGCTGAGTCAGAAGGCGAAGCTCTCGATTTACCGGTGGATCTACGTTCCTACCCTCACCTATGGTCATGAGCTTTGGGTAGTGACCGGAAGAAGGAGATCGCGGATACAAGCGGCCGAAATGAGTTTTTGTCAGAGGGTAGCTGGGGTGAGAAGCCATCAGGAGGGGCTTGGAGTAGACCCGCTGCTCCTCCACATCGAGAGAAGCCAGATGAAGTGACTTGGGCATCCTGGACGCCTCCCTGGTGAGGTTTTTTGGGCACGTCCAACACCCGGACCCAAGAAAGACCCAGGACACGCTTGAGGGACTATGTCTCTCACCTGGCTGGGGAACATCTTGGGACTCCCTGGAGGAGCTGGCCCAAACCATGTTAAGGCGAGCTGTGCTCATTGGGGACAATGGAGTTGAAGCTTAAATTGTCAATGTGAGTGTATGACTGTGTCCCTGTGATGGACCAGAGGCCAGTCCAGGGTGTACCCCGACTCCAGGGGTGTACTGGGACAATTTTTCAGGCTGGAAATTTGTTACCCAGACTATGAAGTTGCTTCGGTAGTAAATGTAAAATCAAGAATTTTATTGAGTTTATGTCTTAAATAATTTTTAGTTTAGTGCCAAGCAGAGACTCGCTGCCAAAGGGAGACACGGATACGTAGGGGCAGTACCAAACTCCATAGTCCAAACGTGGATCCTGATGCCTTCCTGTAGATTCAGAGGAAAGGAGCACAGTCCCATCTGTAACTCTTCTTACTGCTCTCAGATCAGCCAGTGTTTGCTTTGTAGCCAATAAAGTCCTTACCTGAATCTATAAAC